GCAAACCAGCTATCAAGAAACACTTGATCTTGAATCAACGATATCATGGGGCCCAACGACACACCATCTTCATTACGAACGAAATACTTAGAAACGGGCGTGAGGCTATGGAGTCTCTTTACATTCCCACCTTCATCCTCCACTGTGGAGCATCCGACCACCGAGTGCGTGGCCAGAAGCCTCAGCATCCGATCGACCATCGACGCCGCATTCCGGTTCGTCGCCGTTATCTTTGCTGCTATCTCGGCCGCGGAGAGCTCGGCCCCGGGGCTGGCCTTCGCCAGGATCTTGAAGACTCCGAGCTCCAAGGCGGCTTGGAGAGTGAAGGGAAAAACTGATAAGGTAACCAAATGAGCAGCGTAAGCAAAGTGTTGCTGKTCTTGGTCGTCGGCGGAGGAGGAATTGATGGCTTTTTGTTCCATTTGTGCAACTCTTTTTTGTGGTTGGAGTTGGAGGAAGAGATGAGGTTCGGGAATGGAATTATTTTTGTGAGTTGTTTAATATGGCGTTCCTTCTGGCTTGGTTGGTTGCCTGTCCAATCAACGTGGGGCTTGTTTCCACCCAAAAATAACTATTTGGGGCTTATCTTAACTTTAGTGAGAAAAGAAATAAAAAAAATAAAAAAAAATACACTTTAGTGAGATAAAAATAGTAAATTATAGTTCTTTTTTTCTCATGTGACTTTCCTACTAGGCATATCTTTAACCAATTGGTCCCAATCAACGTTTTTTAGAAAATTCTCCATTACAAATTTTATTTATTTATTGTTTAATTAAATAATTCCGACAAAAAAATAAATKGTTAAAAATAACTTGTTACTAGGAAAAATGAGTTACTATTAAGTTATTAATTGATTAATAAATTTGAATKGTGGGAATGATGGTAATGTAAACTTATTCTTTTTTTAATACAATATATGGAGGTGGGAATTCGAAGTCACAATTTTTTTGTCGGAAATAGGTAATTTAACAAGTTGAGTTGTGGCTTGTCACTCATAGAACGAAATAAAATATATATATTAATTTTCCAGCATAAATAATATAAATATATATATCCCTCATTCCAATCATAAAACAAATTTACATATTCGTCAATCACTTTTATTGTTCGTTTTTGTAAATTAGGAAAAAAAAAGGAAAAAGAACACTAAACAGTTCACTTTTTTCTTGTTATAGGGAGCAAAAACGATCCAAGCCAGACGAAAGGTTGGACCGTGAGGTAGAAGCCCGAGATCATCGACGAAGGGAGCCGACCCATAACGAAAGGGCCGACCAATTTTTGAAAGCCGACTTGCCTCGGCTCCGGCTTCTTGTCTTAGTCTTCGAGTCAAGACGCAACCCGATCTTTTCCGCCCAGTTCCTATGCCAACCGATCAAATACCCATGCTCGGTGTCGAGCCCGACATTCTCTCTCTTCTGTGGTCTACAAATCATTGGGCCTTCACAACAATCATCTAGGGCTCATTTAGAAGGTTCTGGAAACCTTTCAAGCGACTATAAATCGATCATGCTGCCTAACCCTAAGGTAAGCCGAATTCTACACTTGAGTTCCATTGCTCAACTACTCTCCTTACTAACTTAGGTATCGGTGCCCATGTGACAAGAGTAGCACCGGTCTAGCTGTGTTCGATTTTTCAGGTCTTCGATTACCTGATAATCGAGTTTGGTGCGAGCCACAGAAGGAACCAGGAGAGCATATTATACGCATCAACAATTGGCGCCATCTGTGGGGACGATACAGTCCGAGCAAGCCTAGCCGAGGCCCAGATCCGAGGCAAGTATAATGGAGGAAATCGACACAAGCCCTGGTGGAAGTCAGCAACGTTTTGAAAAGAGGAGCCTAAACGAGGTTGCCGACCACTTGGGGGAGGCAAGTCCGAGCCCTGGTCATCGACTAAATCCGACCACCCCCGATAGGGTAGAATCAGTCAAGGAGATAGAATCTATCCCTCTGACAGCCAAGGATCGACGAGTCAACATCATAATCAAATTGGGGAATGAGGAAAGAAAGAGCCTTATAAATTTCCTCAGAAGCAACGTCAACGTGTTCGCATGGCACATGAGGACATGTCAAGAATCGATAGAGGAAGAGCTACTGAAAGCAGGCTTCATTCGAGAAGTGAATTATCCCTAGTATCCAACGTGGTGCTGGTGAAGAAGCTAAATGGAAAATGGAGAATGTGCATCGACTTCACATACATAAATAAGGCCTGTCCAAAGGATTCTTTTCTCTTGCCCCGAATAGATCAACTGGTTGATGCTACCGCTGGACATGAAAGATTGAGTTTCATGAATGCCTACTCCAGGTATAATCAAATCAAGATGCAATTACCAGATCGGGAAAAGACCACTTTTGTCACGAGCCAAGATTTATATTGCTACACGGTAATATCGTTCCGGTTGAAGAAACCTAATTTGTGACCCCACCTCTACTTAATTTTGACCACACCTCCAGTGAAAAGACGAATTTACCCTTATTGTTAATAAATAGCATTTATGATATATTAACTTTCCACCCAACCATTTCACCAAACTTTAAACTCATATTTTACATATGTTTTGAATTTGAAACAATCTAAAATCGTCACAGATCACGTTTTTTAAAATCCTCTAAAGAAACATTGTCATGTGTTTGATCATTGTCCTCACACTATCCAAAATCGTTGTCCCTACATTTTCACATTTGAAGAGTTAGGTACGTTACATTGTACTTTAAAATTTCTGAAATGATTTGAAATATTTTCCATTCATACATGTTCACATTTGCTGGATTGGCTTCTTGAAAAAAGGAAAAAAATTAGATCATTATCCCTAACCAAGTATAGATCCGGGATTGAAGTTTCGAGATCCACGATTGAATACATTCAATCCTGGACTAATCCCAGTTTAATCCCAGTTCATTTTGGTTCGGGACATGAACCGAGACACATCCCGGACCAATCCCAAACCACAATTGTCCGGGATATGTCTCGAACCAAGACAGTTCGGGATGACATTTGTTTTTTTTTTCATTTTTATTACTTGTTTTTCAATGATAAATTTTCTTATATCACTGTGTTTTATCTATATGCAGGATGCCTCGTGTTTTCATAAGATTTGGTGGATAATTGAACGATAGTGAAAAAGATTACATCGGTGGTCACACGAGAAGATTGATAGCGGATAGTACAACCACGTATGGAGAATTTCTAGGTCACATGTATAGATTGAGTAATATGAACCCCTACAGTTCGATATTATAATTAGAGGCGTATATCATTTTAAAACTAAAGTTTGTGTAGTTGAGATAACTGATGACAATGACCTAAATTTTGTTTTTAACTGGTGAGGATGTATCTGAATTGCCTATATACATATTTACTGTGTCAAAGTAGGTACATGGAATGAAACGTACATGCCTTCTTTCTCATATCATGTAGGCCAAAACGTGTCCTCGATTCATGTGCCCACAGTTTGTATTCCCCCATTCTAGAGACCCACATATCCTATACCCTCATTTCCTTCCTCATCATCGAACCCCTCTTCTTCCCAATAGCCACACCCTTACTACAGGCATATAGGTCAAGATATAGCGGGTTTAAATCCATTGGAATCAGATGTTGTTCCATGTAACCTAGGAGATGACAGGGTATGTGATTGGGATGTGTGGGGATTGTGGAATGATAATGAAGATGAAAGTGATGAATCTTATGACCCGTTGAGAGAGTCAGAAGAACAAGACTATGAAGCAGAATTTGGGAATGATGACCATGACGATGCACTTGATGAAGACTCTGAGCCCTATGTGGAACAGGTACACACTGAGATTCGCAGGGATGAAGCAGCAGTCCGGCAAATGGGGTGTGTTGTCTCACTGGACAGCCTAATGATGAGAAGTTGCAAMTCATAGTATAGTTTTYTGGAACAAATGATGTTAAGGAGGGCGAAGTATTTAATACGAAGAAGGAGTTGATTTTGAAAATGMATTTAGTTGCAATGCAGATRAATTTTCAGTTTAAAGTAAAAAAGTCGGACACCAGAACTATATATACTRTGCTRYGTTGATACTAGTTGCACCTGGAGACTTCGAACTACAAAGYTGAGGGACTGCARTCTGTTCRAGATTAAAAAATATTGTACMGTCTATACATGCAATGGTGGAGTTTTGAAACAGGATCATARGCAAGCYAAGAGTTGGGTGGTCRAACATCTTGTCCAAACGAAGTTTACAGACGTCTCCTRCATGTATAGAGTGAAGGAYATTATACAAGACACGAGGAAGGAGTATGGTGTCAATTTAAGTTATGACARAGCTTGGTGGTCTAGTGACGAAGCACTTCGACTTATTAGAGAGGATMYARCATCGTCATATGGTCTACTACCAACTTATGGTGAAGCATTAAAAATCATGAACCCAGGTACTATTTTYGAGTTGGAACTAAAAGATGRCAAATATTTTAAATATGTCTTTATGACTTTRGGTCAATCGATTAAARGGTTTCTGGCTTGTATTCGACGAGTGTTGGTTGTTGAYGGGRCCCACYTAACAAGGAAGTTCAGAGGGGTATTGTTAACAGCTTCTAGTGCTGATGCGAATAACCAKATTTACCTGGTAGCATTTGCTATTGTCGACGGTGAGACCGTAGCATCATGGGTATGGTTTATGACTCAAATAAAATGTGCGYTCGGCGTAGTGAACAATTTGGTTTTCGTTTCCGATAGACATCAAACCATTTTTAAGACAATTGACAAGGTATTTCCCACTGCATTTCATTGCTTTTGCATACAACATATTAAGATGAAATTGTTAGCCAAATTTAAAGTCGATGCGAAGGCACTCGATGAACTATTTCTAAAAGCTGCAAAGGCATATCAAGCGTCTTACTTCAACTCAATCTGGGCTCAACTTAGTGTGTACCCTGGTGTGAGGGAATACCTGGATGACATTGGGAAGGACCGTTGGGCTCGTTGTTTCCAARCAGAATTGAGGTACACACAGATGACCACTAATAATGCGGAGTTCGTAAATGCCCTCTTTAGGCACGCGCTTAGGTTGCCGGTAACTGCTTTACTATTAGAGGTATGTTACAGACTTGGTTCTACGATCGACGGACGCTTGCCTCTTCCTAATCAACCACGTTGTCCGACTACGCAAAAAATAAGTTTCATGAATACTCGAATAGTGCTAGGAGACACGTTGTAGTCAACATCGACCAGTTTCATGTYCAGGTACGCGATGACAACCTTGACGAGATTGTTGATTTCAACTCTAAGACATGTAGTTGTCGGGAGTTTGATTATTTTAAACTTCCATGCTCTCATACTATTACCGRGGAGATGATGCGAAACATAAATCCATACACTCTGTGTGACGAGGCATACACGACGAACTCTTGGGTAATGGCTTATGCAGAACCAATATTTCTAGTTCGCCAGATTTTGTCGACACACCGATGGAACCACCAAATACGGTTCCTAGAGT